AAAGCAGGAATGGTGGATATTGCTGTAAAATTATACGATTCAAGAACAGAGATTGGATTATCTTTGAGTTCAATGGCTGTTAATTATTTAATGAATACCCTTTGTAGGGACGGAAGCGTCATTGATGCATATCGTATTTTAAGCAACTCAATCGACCAAGGGTATTTCCCAGGAAAAATCCCGTTTTCTATCTTGGCAGATGCTTTATGCAATGTGGAAAATCTCGAGATGATGAAGGAGTTTTTTCGTGTAGCATTAGAACATGGGATTTTGTTAAGCAATAAGTTTTACGAAAAGTACATAAACGCCCTTTGTAGTAAGGGAAAGTTAGAAGACGGGTATATCATACACGGGGAATTAACCCTTCTTGATAAAGTAACAACTGGATGTGCTTACAATACTTTGATAAACGGGTTTATAAAACACAATAGAGGCGATATTGCAACAAGATTATTGATAGAAATGAAAGAAAAAGGTCGTACCCCTGGGAGGGAATTGTTTCGAGGTGTTGTTCAAAGTGTATGTGAAATGGAAAATCCCGAAAAACAATTTAAAAAATTGTTGGAAATGCAATTGTCTTTACATGAACCCAATTGTACGTTTTTTAATTATTTTATAGAAGGAGCGGGTCTTGCTAAAAGACCCGATTTAGCAAAAGAAGTTTATGAAATGATGAAAAAAAGTGGGATTTCTCCGAATTTGGGTTCGGATGTTTTGATGTTGAAAAGTTATTTAAAAAGTGGGAAAACATCGGATGCGTTGATGTTATTTTATGATATTTTGAAAAGACGAAAAATCGGGAGAAAAATATGTAACACAATGGTTGTTGGTTTATGCAAAGCAAGTAAACCGGATGTTGCGTTGAGTATATTTTTGGAAATTAGAGAGAAGGGTAAAACGGTCAAACCAAGTATCGAATGTTACGAAGAGTTAATTTACGTTTTATGTAAATACAAAAGATATGACAAAGTCATGGATGTTATCAATGACATGATTCGAGTTGGGTGTCCTTTATCGTCTTTTATCGGGAACAATTTGCTTCTATATTCTTTAAAAGACCAAAACCTATACAGCACTTGGGTTGACTCACTATCCACCGAGTCAACCGAGTCGACTCAGTCGTCACCTATATGGAAACTCGGCGAGTTGGTTGGGTTGTTTTCTGACCGGTTTAGAGACGATATAGATATTGATGAGTTGGAGGAAGTAGTGGGGAAGTTTTTTCCACTTGATATATACACATACAACATGCTTTTGAGGAAACTAATAAAGAAACAGGTGGATGATGCTTCTAGATTGTTCCGGAAGATTTGTGAAAAAGGGTATAAGCCGAATCAGTGGACTTATGAGACTTTGGTGCATGGGTTTTACAGACATGGTAGGGCGGCTGAAGGTAAAGTATGGCTGGAGGAGATGCAGAAGTTAGGGTTTACTCCAAGTGAGGCTACAACAGTTTTGCTTTAAAGGTTTTCATAAAGTTGCATACTTCCAAAAACATGTGAAACATATCAAAGGTATGTAAACTATCAGCTTTTGTAGTATTTAGGGTTAAATGCTAGAAATAGCAATATATGATCATTGGTTTGTTTGTTATAAGAGGAAGAAATGAAAGTACGATGCTATAATACAGACAAATAAAATAAAGTAGATTGCTTTCTGTTGCATTTAGTAATACTGGTTATAGCTTTTTTCTATGGAAAAGTCTCTGGTCTTTCAAACATTTACTAATATTTACATAAAGAGACTATAAAATAATTGATTTATCTGAAATTTGGCACCTTTGATTTATTCACATCAGATAGGAGAGAGGGTGGGAAGTTAGACAAGGGTGTTGCAGACTTGCAGTATTGTTTGGTGGTTTTTTGGATTTCATGAGCATTGATTGAAAACTCAGCCACAAATTTGAATGACATAACTCTTCATCTTCTATCTTCTATCTTCTCCATTTTCTTTGATTTCATCACTCAAGAGTCAAGATAGCCACAAATTTGAACCAGGTACATGGCTTGCAACTCATTTTAAACTCTTGTTTTAATTTTTTGTTTCAAATTTTTTTATTATTCCTCTTTCTTTTTCCTTATCTCAGTTTCTGTTTGATTCCATGGGTGATTCAATATAGCGCAATGTTTGATTAGAAATGAAAGATTAGAACCAATTTATTACAAGAAAATGAAACCTAGCATTCAAGAGGCTAGACTCTCCCTGAGACCGATTAACTTTAATCTTCTTGCCTAACTAGTTTTCTACTTCGCTCAGAAACTCTTTTGGAGACTTCAAAAGATTCATATTTTTTTCTTATCAAGAGATTTATATTTGTTTCTCATCAAGAGATTTATATTTGTTTCTTAACATGTAGAAGTAGTCAAATCTTTTGAAATCATCACTAAAAGTGAAAAAGTATCTAAATCCTCATCTAGATGGTGTGTTAATGCATCAACTCTTACATTTAAGGTAAAATGTTGTTTCTTCATTTAACAAGTCAACATGATTCACATATCTTATAAGATTCTTGTAAACTAGGGATTGAGGGTGAAAATACATTATTGATTGCGTACTTTACAAGGAGATTGTACAAGACTTTATATACAGGCAGGATCCCTAGACATAGAAACCCTTGGGTCTATGGGCTAACTAGGCTAAAGCTAATACATATAATATTTGCATTCTAACACTCTCCCTCAAGTTGAATCATATATGTTAAGCATGTCTAACTTGTTAGAAATAAAAGATATTTACGAACCAGAGGTAACGCTTCGCTTTGATGAAGTAGTTGATTTCCTTTTCGAACATGGGGAGTAGAGATGATTCCATCTTCTAGATTTTCACAAGTGAAATTGCTGTCTTCTTTGATATATCTAGTACTTTCATGAAAGAAGGGATTGTTTACAATATTGATAGCCGCCTCATTATCACAATACAGGTTCATTGGTTTGGATTGAGCAAACTCAAGTTCATCCAACATATTTCATACCCATATTAGCTCGCATGTAGTTTAAGCCATAGCCTGATATTCAGATTTAGATTCAACACTTGATTGTGAAACGACATTGTGTTTGTTACTTTTCCATGAAACTAGATTCCTTTCGACAAACACACAATAGCCTGTAGTAGACTCCCTGTTTGTAGGATCGCAATTGTAGTTGACAGTAGTGAAGCCTTCGATGACATGATGATCGTGATTTTGATATAGGACGCCTTGACTAGGAGCACCCTTTAGATACTTTAGAATATAACTAACTGCATCCCAGTGTAATGTTCATGGAGATGCCATAAACTGACTTACAACACTCACCGGAAAAGCAATGTCCGGACGTGTAATCGACAGACAGTTAAGTTTTCCCACAATTCTTTTGTATTTCTCTGGGTTATCAAGTGAATCTCCATCATCTACTTTCAATTTCATATTCAGAATCATTGGGAACTCGAAAGGTTTTGTTTCAAATTTTCAATCATCCCAGGAATCTTCAAAATATCCGAGCAATATTACCGTTGAGATAAACAAATCATTTCCGAGTACGAGAGACCTTATTTCCTAAAAGTATTTTTAAAGGATCTTGGTCCTTTGTTTGAAACCGAGATGCAAGGAAAACTTTCAGTTTCTTGATCCTAGTTCTGTCACCCCCGGTAATCACAATGTTATCAACATGCACCACTAGCAAAATGCATCCAGAAGGTGATGAAGTAAATAACACAGAATGATCATAAGAGCTTCTTTGTAATCCAAATTCTGTCACCACGAAATTAAACCGACCGAACCAATCCCGATGGTATTGCTTTAAACCATACAATGATTTAAGCAATTTACAAACTCTATCACCCCTCTGAGCAACACTGGTTTCTCCATACAAACTTCTTCATTTAAACCACCATGCAAAGAGGCGTTCTTCGCATCCAGTTAGTGGAAGGGCCTGGTCATAAATTAGTTAGTGGAATGAACATGCGGGTGGAAGATACCTTAGCCACAAGAGAGAATGTCTTAGAGTAGTCTACCTCAGTCTGATTATATCCTTTAGCAACCAATCTTGCCTTCAAATGAGCCACATATCCATTTGGATTAACTTTCAGCGTGAACACCCATTTGCAACCGATCGCTTTTTGACCCACATGTAAGTCTACCAAATCCCATGTATTTTTATGATTGAGAGCATTGATCTCATCGATCATAGCATCCTGCCATCCAGAATGGTTCAAAGCTTCACCAACCGTTTTAGCAACATATATATCATCACGTATAGATATCATAGCACATTAAGTTGAAAATAATTTATCATAGTAAACAAATGAGGCTATAAGGTAAGTACATTAACACTTACCTTTCCTTAAGGCAATGAGAACATCAAGGTGCTCAACACAAAAAATTCTTTAACCCTAAAGTAGGCTCAGATGTCTCTTATTGATTCCCGAAAATCCCATTTCATAATTCACCATACTCTCCAAATGTGTTATGATCCCATATCGGCTGAAAGTACTATAAGTTGGTGGCTTATAAGTCTAGGTGTCCCTCCTCTTACAAGCTGGCTTTTGGGAGTGAGTTCTATACTCGAGCTTATGGCATGATACGGGCCTAGTATGGGATGGGTTCGTATCAATAATGTAATGTATCCACCCATGTTGTTCACATACAGAAGGAGAAGGAATAAGACAAAGCAGACAAAGAATGGGCCCAACAATGACTTGGATCCCGGGGAAGACCACATGAGTGGACCAACCAGGGGCAGAATAGGGATTGATGCCAGATTATTCCTCATATATAGAGTAGCTGACGTATTGGTTAGGGTAGCTAAAAATTTGTTAGAACATTCTCTGGGAGAGTTATAGCGACTCGAACTGGTATATTTTCTTGTAATCCTTTCATTTCCATTTCAATCAATCAGTCATTCAGATTCATATTCTCGTTTTGTATTGAAAATCCTTATCAGGCGCCGGATTTCACTGGTGGGTTTTCCTTGAGACTGAGTCACAGTTTTTGGGGTGTTGGAGGAAGCGTTTGTCGTCCGAGGTCAAAAATAAGTGGTCTTAATGGGAGTGATAAGAGGTGATCCGGATATGAACCCGGTTGAATGTGTGGGGCGAGTAATAGTACTTGGGTTACTTATCGTTACTGGGCTGCTCTTCTTTCCTTGTTGGGCTCTTAGTTTATCCTCCACTTTAATTGCCAAACTCATCGCATGATCCACTGATAAAGGCCCAAGAAGTCTCACTTCTGACCTAATTTCATCCTTCAACCCGTTTATGAATTGACCCATGGATATGTCGTCGGGTATGTTGGTCAACAGCGCTAACAGTTCAATGAAGCTTCTTTGATATTCCAACACCGATCCCACCTGAGATAACACCAACCACTGCTCTTGTAACGTTCCGACATTAGTAGGGCGGAACTGTCGGAGGAGCAACGATTTCATCTTTTCCCACCGGACAATTAGTATTCTTTGATGCTCCCACTGAAACCATAGTAAAGCATCACCTTCTAGCGCCACCACCGCCGCTTCTACCTTGTCTTCCTCCGATAATCGGCAGAACTTGAAGTAGCGCTCCGCCCGTAAGACCCATCCATCGGGAAAGTTGCCATCGAAGAGTGGCATGTCAAGCTTCTGGAAACGCCAGTTCGCTCCTCCGTTGGATCCATTTCCACCGCCTGCCCAGTCCCCAGGACCTCCGCCGTTTCCTCCTCCGGAACCTGACTTTCCGGTGAATGTTTTTTGGGGATTGGATCCCATCCTCGGGGTGGTTTCCACTGGTATCTCGGTACCCCCACTGGACCCTTCTTCTGAAACCTTCTTCCCTCTGTCTGACTCATCAGGGTTGCTCTTGAGGACTGCTTTGAGGACTTCATCTATCTTCCGTTCTATGGAGGCCATAGAGTCTGCTTGGTGTTGGATCTGCAAGGACTGTTCATCCTATCTCTCGTGAACATGACTCATTGCCGCTTCCAAGGTTTCCACTCTTTTGTTTGTTGTCTGACCCTCCTTTCCTGCCCCGGCCATGAGCTCTGATACCAATTTGTTATGCCTTGCACAATAATGAGATTATAGATTCAAGCAAAACGAGAATACGAATCTGAATGACTGATTAATTGAAATGGAAATGAAAGGATTACAAGAAAATATAGCAGTTCGAGACGCTATAACTCTCCCATAGAATGTTCTAACAAATTCTTAGCTACCCTGACCAATACGTCAGCTACTCTATATATGAGGAATAATCTGGCATCAATCCCTATTCTGCCCCTGGTCCCCTTATGTGGTCCTCCCTTGGATCGAGGTCATTGATGGCCCCATTCTTTGTCTGCTTTGTCTTATTCCTTCTCCTTCTGTATGTGAACAACGTGGGTGGATACATTACAAAATGTCGCTGCTATTAAAACAAAAATAGGTTAAATGCAATAAATACTAAACATATTTTTGTTTATTTTCGTATTTTAGCATCTTGCTTCCATACCATTGTATTTGCAATCTTTTTTTTATTAAAACATTTTACTTTGAAAATATACATGATCATAACATTGTATTTTGAAAGATCGGTCCATTTATAGCAGTAAAAATTGTTTTGTATTTAGATGATATTAATTAGGTAGAATTTCACAATGTACATGCTATAATAGGAAGATATAAAATTAGGATGCTATAAATAATAAACAAATGAATAGAAGTTAGTTACTATTTCTTGCATTTAGAGGGTGTTTGGGATTTCCTCTCAAAACAACTTATTGCCTTATTGGTTTTTGAAAAGTCAAAAAGTCAAAAAAAAGTGTTTGGCAAAAAAATGACTTTTAAAACAATTTCTCCTTAACCCTTCAAAAAGGAGATTTTAAGAAATTAGAATTTGTAACTTTTCTAAACTCCATATGACTTTTTGAGTTGTAAAAGTCAGTATTACCTTAAAAAATACCGAAGGCAAACATTTTTTTTTTATTTTAAAAAACAACTTATTGACTTATTTGACTTTTTCCCACCACAAAAACTAATCCAAACACTTTTTTTGAAAACTCTTTTTGCTACCACCATAAGTCATTTTTTAAAAAGTTCTTTTAAGGATCAAAATGAAATCTCGAATACCCTCTTAACCTTACAAAATTATTAATGACACTATGTACTTACTTCTGAGTTTGTTTGGATAATGAAATTTATTAGCTGATTTATCTGTGATGATTGCAGTTGCTGTTGTTGGGCTTAAAGTTCAACCCAAAGATACCAAATTGAGTGGATCTCATAAATTTTGATGGAAGCCATTTGTGGCATCATGTATTTAGGGTGTGATATAATCTCAAAAGAATATGTTGTTAAATTTCAATATTAACATACTAATCTTCGGCTTTGCTAATGTTGCTATGTAATTATTATAATTTGTTCTAATGCGTATGTTTTGGAACATCATTTTAATAAAAATGAGTTTGAAGTTTATGGTTTAAAACATCATGCAAAACACTATAAAATAGTAGTATTATCTCAGACTTCGATTAATTTCTTATTGGAAAGTTAAACTTTGACGCAAAAAAATAAATCTTGATGTACGAGTATATTATTGTAACATTTTGCTAAGAGTTCACTTTCAGTTATTTTATTTATTTATGTTACACATGGGTACAAAAATATTGTTACCATGTACATGAATTCTCAATAAATATAGGGCTTGGAATTTGGAAAGGATCTCGTAGTGGTTGAAATTAAAAAGCACGTCCAGTACACCACTTCACCTATTCGTCTTAGCTCGTGTCCCATTCAGCTTGGTTTTTGTGTCATTTTATATTCCAGTTTTGTAATAGTTCTGTTAAAATAATAACCATGTTCTATCATCATATCTTGAAGTTTCAATTTTTAGTTTAATATTGTAACATGTTTCATTTTTTTTTCACTAGAATTTAGTTATGTGAGGGTAAGAGTAGTACAATATCATCAAGAGGAAATTACACGAATGGTCCCTATGATTTGGAGTAATTTGCACGTTTGATCCCTAATTTATTTTTTTAACTCGGAAGGTCCATACTGTTTGTTTTTGTTACGCGTTTGGCCCCTACTGTTTATTTTTGTTACGCGCTTGGTCCCTGTCTTACCTAAAAAGACTATTATTTAAATAGGAAAAAAATTGTGGGGTAGGTAAGGTAAGGTGAGGGGGTGTGGTTGGGGGTGTGTTTATTTAAATAAATTAAAAAATCAAGGACAAAATAGTCTTTTTAGATAAGACAGGGACCAAACGCGTAACAAAAACAAACAGTAGGGACCTTCCGAGTTAAAAAATAAGTTAGGGACCAAAGGCGCAAATTACCCTAAACCATAGGGACCAGTCGTGTAATTTACTCTATCATCAAATAGTACCCAAGTTTAACATATAGGTTATTCAAACATCTGTTAATGCTCTTCTCGGTGAAATTTGTTTATGGGTTTTCAAGTTTCATTTCATATTAGAGTTAAATCACAGATCACCAACAATTAATTTAGTATGTCCCAAGTTAAGAACTCAAGACCACCATTTATGCTCTACCTCCCATCATGGAGACAATATGATTAATTAACATCAATTAATTAGAAAATATGTATAAATTATTCAGACATTTAAATTAATTATAAAAAGAGTTGTCATATATTCGAATCTTATAAGCTTCGATTTTAGATGACATGCCGTTCTAAAAGAAGTTAATTATTGCTATTTAAAGTGATGGCATTGTAATCACTTTCCACACATAAAAATAACTCATAATGGCAAATATTTAATATAACTTGATAAACAAGGATGGCATAAAAATATAAAAAGTAATAATAATATTGTAGTTATAATATAATAATTATATTAGCCGTGTAGGGAATTAAAATCACAATGTTTAAATGTCCTCGTGAATGTAAAGCATGGTTGTAACAAAAGGCGCATGGGTCATGCTTTTTGAAAAAAAATTGTACATTAAGGCTATTTGTATATGTATGCGTATTTAAATAAGGTTGCAAGGGCATAAGTTTTATTATTATTATTATTATTATTATTATTATTATTATTATTATTATTATTATTATTTAAAGAACGACCAAATTCATTAAAAACTCACCCAAAATAACAAGTAACTATAGGGGAGCAGAGGTAAACATACAAAAAAAATAAGAGAGATTAAAACAAAAAAGGATTGAACAAAATTCAGCCAAATTACAAATACCACTCTTGCCTCTACACTTAATCCACATGTAGACCATCGCCTTGATGTTGTCAACCACGCCCATTGGATTAGTGAATCTTGCCTGGAATATTCGATCATTTATTGCTCTCCAAAGACCCCAAAACATCCCGTAGCAGATTACATTTAGTATCTCTCTCTTTTTCAGGCATCGACCCCAATTTACTGCATATTGTATCAACTCCTCTATGTTCTGGACACTTATAGGAGTAATACCACACCAACCGAATAAGCTTTTGCGTACGGTGACTGTAAAAGGACAATTTACCAGCAGGTGATTGATGACATCCACACCGCTTATGCACGAACTATAGGAGCTTGAATCTATCTTTACACCTCTTTGTATAAGTGCCATAGCTGATGGTATTCTATCCAGTAATGCTCGCCATATGAATGTTGTAACTTTTAATGGTATGAGCTTACTCCAGCTAATCTTTATGTTATTGGCAATGGCTGTTGGATTCGTGTCAATCTTCACTCTTAATAGATGCACCTGATAAACCCCATCAGGTGCAATTAGGCAGGAAAATTGATCATCACCAGATTGGATGTTAACTGACCCAATAGTAGCCGATAGACCCTCCACGTGAGAGGCTAGACCAGCAACCGTTGGACAAGACTTCCAATATCCCTTGAATAGCCCTTCCTTAATTCTTTCTGCATTGCATGATTTTTTTCTTTCGATCTCATATAGTTCTGGGTATAAATTTTTTAATTTTTCAGCACCTGTCCATTTGTCGTGCCAGAACTATGTTTCGTTGCCAGACTTTATTATTTGTCGGAATATATCGTTAAATCGAAATCCCATCGCCTCAATATCTTTTTTCACAGAAGCAATGCTGTTCCAACAACCTTTTTTTAGCTAAATGATCAGCCGGTTTGTTTTTCAAATTGTGCAGGCTAACAATAGCTTTGGCCCATAATGAGGATGATTCCTGTTTGATTCTCCACCACCATTTCACTAATAATGCCACGTTCAATGCTCTAATTGATTCAACTCCCAACCCACCAAGATCCTTAGGAGCAACAACTTTATCCCAAGCAACCCAATGCATTTTGTTCTTTTCTTCACTTCCACCCCACAAGAATTTCCGACAAATCTTTTCAAGTTGTTCTATGACACCAATTGGGGCTCTAAACAATGACATGTAATATGTTGGAAGATTACCCAATACCGCCTTAATTAACGTCAACGTCCCCCCAACAGACAACGTTTTGGATTTCCATCTCGATAGTTTGGCTTGAAACTTGTCTATACTTGGTCTGCAGTTCTTTATCAGCTTCATATTGGCACCAATTGGCACACCGAGATACGTAAATGGAAGGGATCTTGCTTCACACCCTAACAACTGCGCTCCTTTTTAAGATTTCCCCATTCGACACACCAACACCAAAGACCTTGGATTTATGGAAATTTACCTTCAATCCGGAGGACACATGGAAGCACCTAAGTATGGATGCAATATTTTTCAGATTATTCCTTGACCAATCTCCTACAAATAATGTGTCATCTGCATAGCACAGATGTGAGATTATCGGACCATCACTCGGTAATTGACTCCCTTTGAAAATGCCTTTTTCAACAGCCGTCTTCATTATAACATTCAATCCCTCCATTGCTATTATAAATAGGAACGGGGAAAGTGGACCCCCTTGTCTAACCCCTTTCGAGATGCTAAACTCTTTAGTTAGCGAACCGTT